CTATTGATGGACACTTACATTTTTACCATATCCTAGCGAGCATTTCTTATCTCTTGTCTTTGTGATAACAGTCACTGTAGCATGTGTGATGTTCTGTCTCACCGTGGTTTGGATTTCTGTACACTTTAAGAGATTTTTTCATTTTTAATGTCATTATTTGTATGTATGTTTGCAATTTGATTTTTTCTGTTTCATGAATATTTGTTCCTCCTTTACTATCTCTCTTTGACATAAGTGCATATTTTCTAGTTTATAATGTTTTTAAAATTATCTTTTTATTAGAAATAATTCTTTACTCATATGCAATTGTGAGAATACATAGAGACCATTGTTTGTGATAGATCCATTGACTCCAAACAAAAACTTTTATTCTGAAGGTTTTACTCTTGAGTATCTCAAACCATCTTGTTCTTTTATTCAAATCTGAAAAATCTGTGGTTTTGCCCTATCCTCGTTTTAATACATCTTTAAACAACTACTCTCTTAATTGCATTGATGATGTTTCCGCCCCTAGCTGCTATCCAAAAATTATGTTCTTGATCTTATTTATTATTTGCACATGAATGAGTTTCTAAATTTGGAACTGAAACATTTACCATAGCTTTCTTGTCTCAAATGTTGGCATAAAGTGCTTAAATTATTGATTGCTTACTTTAATTTATTTCTGTGTGTTTGTTGACTTGTATTGTTATGCCTATTTATCACCAGTAGTGTTGATTTTCTTTTTTACTAAATAAAATATGAATAAAATATATATTAAAATAAAAAATAGAGATACTGCATAACCTTCATTTTTCCAATTTTTAGCATCTTAAAATATTACATCTATGATATTGACATACACAGTCAAGATACAGAATAATATCAATATGAGGATCTGTTGTGTTGCCTTCTCATAGCCACACCTACTTCTCTTTCATCCCCCTTTTCCTGATCTCTGAAAACAACTACTCTGTTCTTCATGTCTATATTTTTAATTTCCAAAATGTTGTATAAATGGAATCATTCAATATATAACATTCTTGGATTATCTTTTTTTCACAAAACCATTCTGGAGGTTCTTCTAGCCTTAACTACTTGTTTAAAAAATTTTTTAATGTTTATTTATTTTTGAGAGAGACAGAGTGCAAGCAGGGAAGGGGCAGAGAGAGAGGGAGACAGAATCCAAAGCAGGTTCCAGGCTCTGAGCTGTCAGCACAGAGCCCAACACGGGGCTCAAACTCATTGAGTGCAAATCATGACCTGAGCTGAAGTTGGTCACTTAACTGACTGAGCCACCCAGGTGCCCCAAGCCCTAACTACTACTGCTTAAACAAACTTTAAAGTCAATCGGCCTGCTCTTAGTGCCATTTTCTCTTGAAGAAAAACTTATGTAGCCAATCTGAGTATTTTAGAGTTTTCAAGGTGAATTAAGTTGCTTCACTAGTCTATCACTTAAATTTCTTAAATCTGCTTAATCATTTATCACTTATCTGTTCTTCTCTTATCAATTTTTGTATTTGTTTTTGTTTCTTTCATTTGTGCTTTTGAAAATTTAATTTTCTATTGTTTTTAATAATTTAACACTTAATTTTTTAAATGAGGTCTCAGAAGGCATTGTTTTGAGTGCATGTATTTAATCTATAATCTTTTTTCTTCACATTTAAATCATAGTTTAAAAAAAATTTAATGTTTATCTTTGGGAGAGAGAGAAAGAGAGAGAGAGAGTAGGGGAGGGGCAGAGTGAGACAGAGACCCAGAATTTGAAGTAGGCTCCAGGCTCTGAACTGTAAACACAGAGCATGATGCAGAGCTCAAATTCACAAACTGCAAGATAATGACATGAGTGGAAGTTAGTTGCTAACTGACTGACCCACCCACGCACCACTTAGATCTTATAGTTTAAAGCTAAGATTTTCTTTCAATTATTATTTATTTGATAGTAAAACATATCTTATTGGTAGTGTCTTATTTCAAATTGAGATAATATTACCATGTAACATTATATTAGTTTCAGATGTACAACATAATGATTTGGTATTTGCAAAATATATATTGCAAAATGACCACCACATAAACCTACAATTTTTTTGTAATGAGGATTTTTATGATCTACTCTTTTAGCAACTTTCAAATATACAATGCAGTTTAATGAACTACAGTCATGATGCTGTACATTAATCCTTAGAACTTACTTATGGTATAACTGGAAGTTTGTACCTATTGATCTCCTACACCTAATCTCCCACTCCCTACACCCCACCTCTGTAAACCATCAATCTTTTCTCTATCTGTGAGTTTGGGTTTTGTTTTGTTTTGTTTTTAGATTCCACAAATAAGTGAGATAATTCAGTATTTATCTTTCACTGTCTGTTTTATTTCATTTACCAAATGCCTTCAAAGTGCATCCATGTTGTCACAGACAGCAAAATTTTTTTTATGCCTGAATGATATTCCATTGTACACATATACCACATATTCTTTCTCTATCTGTTGATAAACACTTAGATTGTTTTCATGTCTTGGCTATTATAAATAATGTTACAATGAATCTGGGGAGTGCATTTCTATCTTTGAGTTAGTGTTTTTATTTTCTTTGGACAAAAATCCAAAAGTGGCACTGATGGATCACATGGCAGCTCCATTTTTAATTTTTTGAGGAAACTCCATACTGTTTCCACCATGGCTGTTTATATTACCACCAACAGTCCATAGGGCCTCCTTTTTCTACACATCCTTGTCAACACTTGCTATTTCTTGTCTTACTTACAACAACTATTATAATAGGTGTGAGGTGATACCTCATTGTGGTTTTGATTTGGATTTCCCTAATTGTTATTGATGTTGAGTCCTTTCTCATGTGCTTCTTGGTCATCTGTATATTTTCCTAAGAAGAGTATCTATTCATAACCTCTGGCCCATTTTTAATTGGATTATTTGCTTTTTTTTGGTTATTGACTCATATGAGTTCTTTAGACATTTTGAATATTAACGCATTCTTAGATATGATTTATGAATATCTTTTTCCATTTGATGGGTTGACTTTTCATTTTCTTCATGCTTTCTTTTGCTGTGCATAACCTTTTTAGAATTATGTAGTCCCATTTGCTTAATTTTACTTTTGTTGCCTTTACTTTTGATGTTAAAATAAAAAAGTCATCACCCCCTGATATGAAAAAGCATTCTGGTATGTTGTCTTTTAAGAGTTTTATGGTTTCAGGTCTTACATTCAAGTCTAATTCATTATAACATGTTATTTGTATGATGTAAATAGTGGTACAGTTTCATTCTTGGATGTGCTGTTTAGTTTTCCTAATGTTATTTATTGAAGAGATTGTTTTCATACATTGTGTATTATTTGGTTCCTTTATTATAATTAACTGACTATAAGACATGGATTTATTTCTCAGCTTTCTGTTCTGTTCCATTGATTTATATGTCTGTTTTATTTTAATTTATTTGAAAATTTTTTATGTTTATATTGATAGAGAGAAAAAAAAGAATGAGAGAGGGAAAGATAAACAGTACATGAGAGTTGGGGGGGGGTGCAGAGAGAGAGATGGAGACAGAATCTGAAGCAGGCTCCAGGCTCTAAGCTGAGCTGTCAGCACAGAGCTTGACATCAGGCTTGAACTCACCAGCTATGAGATCCTGACTTGAGCCGAAGTCAGATGGCTGATCCACCCAGACACTCCATGTGTCTGTTTTAATGGCAATATCATACTGCTTTGATTACTATAGCTTTGTACTATATTTTGAAATTAAGGAGCATGATGCCTCCAGCTTTGTTCTTTTAAAATTTGTTTTGGCTATTTAGGATCTTTTGTGGGTCCACACAAATTTCAAGACTCTCTGTTCTATTTCTCTGAAAAATGCCATTGGAAATTTTATAGCCATTACATTGCATCTGTATATTGCTTTGGGTAGAATGGACATTTTTACAAGGCTAATTCTTCTAAACCATGAACACAATATATATTTATATTTTTGTGTCTTTCTTCTATCATTGTCTCATAGTTTTCAATGTACAGATCTTTTACCTCCTTGTTTAAATATATTTCTAGGCATTTTATTCCATTTGATACAAATACAGATGAAATTGTTTTCTTTTCTTTCTGATTGTTTGTTATTAGAATATAGAAAAACAACAAATTATTCCATATTGATTTATTATCCTGCAACTTCATTGAATTTTAAAAATTAGTTCTAACCTTTGTGTGTGTGTGTGTGTGTGTGTGTGTGTAGTCTTTAGGGTTTTCTATATGTAATATCATGTGATCTGCAAAGAGTGATATTCCTTTCCAGTTTGAATGACATTTTTTTTTCTTACCTAGTTCTTCTGAGTAGGATTTTTGATACTATGTTAAATAAAAGTAGTGAAAGTGGGCTGCCTGGTCTTGTTCCTGATCTTAGACTAAAAGTTTTTCAGGTTTTCCCAGTTGAGTATAATGTTAGTTATAGGCTTGACAAATATAGTTTTTATTATGTTGATGTACATTCTCTTCATTTCCACTTTGGTGAGAGCTTTCATTATGAAAGGATGATGAAATTTGTCAAAATGCTTTCTTCTGCATCTACTGATGATCCATCATCTAAACATATGATTTGTGTCTTTCATTATGTTTATGTAATGTATCATATTGACTGATTTGCAAATGTTGGAACGTTCTAGCATCCCTGGGATAAATCCCTACTGATCATAGTGTATTATTGTTTTAATATGCTGTTGAATTCAGTCTGCTTATATTTGGCTGAGGATTTTTTGCATCTGTATTCATTAGGAGTATTGGTTGGTATATTTCTTTTCTTACAGTGTTTGATTTGGGTGTTAGGGTAATGGTAGCCTAATAAAAGTTTGGAAATGTCCCCTCCTCTTTTATTTTTGGAAGAGTTTGTAGTGTCTTTTGTATTATAAAAACACTTTCTGTATTTTGCACTGAATATATTTATTACTTCTATAATAAGAAATAATGTTTACAACTAATAAATTCATAATTTAGAAAATTTGTTATATTTTCCAGTACAATCATATGGGTTCTGATACAATTGTTGTCACTCAAAAAATCTTCCAGTTGATTGGACTGACCAATGCTGTAAGTTTTTGCTTTCAATTCTTTTGCATTTGCTTGTGTTACCTAAACAATTCTGACTTTTAATTTTATGGCTCTGCCTGAACACACATGATGTATGAAATATGCCAAATAATATAACTATTTTATGTTTCAGTTTATTTTCTGAAAAGCAATAGGAAGAAGAAGAATTTCTATATATAGCTAATTAGGTTATGGTGTTTATATTTTTTTATGTTTATTTACTTTTGAGAAAGAGAACCAGAGCATGAGAGGGGGAAGGGCACAGAGAGAGGGAGACACATAATCCAAAGCAAGCTCCAGGCTCCAAGTTGTCAGCAAAGCGCAACGCAAGGCTTAAACTCCTGAGCCACAAGATCATGACCTAAGCTGAAGTCGGATGCTTAACGAACTGAGCCACCCAGGTCCTCCAGGTTATGGAGTAACCAGTAATTATTAAACTGATAAAGCACTTCACATGGGGCTTGCTTAAGTGCAAGTATTCCAAAATGTTAATTATTACTTGTTTTATAAGTAGTATTTATTACTTACTAATATACTCTATAAGATCTGATCCATACTTAGCAGTTCTTTCATTTAATATTTGTCATCAGTGTAGTATTTATTTTTATAGATAAATCCCCAGATCTACTTAAACCATGATATTTAAATGTATTTTCTTTATGTCTTCTATTTTAGATTTTTACATCATTTAATATTACGATAATTCTCTCTTCATTGGAACTCTGGATAGATGAAAATAAAATCCCAGTAACTGGAGATGCTAATGAATTATTACACAGATTTTTAAAGTGGAAAAGATCTTATCTTGTTTTGCGTCCACATGATATGGCATTTTTACTTGTGTAAGCGTATCTTGGCTTTACTAAATCTTATACAAAGGAAACACACCAATATTTGACCTAATTTTGTCAGTTGACAGGCCTTTAGGGTAAATGTGCCTTTTTTTCCCCAACATACAGCATCATGTGAATATTATTTTTCAAAAAACAGGTGTTATAACAGAATTATTGATGCCAATCATTCTATTTATTTGATTGTGGTTAAAACTCACTCCTTCAATATTGTTATCATATGCTTTCTTACCTTAGAGTGTATAACATATCATTAAATTCCCTAACTATATTTGAAATATTAACAGTATCTATCTGAAGAAACACAAATGATGAGTGTACTATTAGACCTTCTTTTTATGGTTTATTTGCATAAGATAACAAAAAATCCCAAGGGTATGGAAACACTACTGTATATTTTAATATCTCTAACATACCATATTTACATTGTCCTACACTTATAAAAATATAAGACCCTCCTATTTAATAAGTACTTTGTTTTTCTCCTATCAATATTTAGGACATATATAATATGGTACTATACTATATTAAAATAAAATATACATATTTACAAAATTATAATAATTTAAATTATTTTCTGTCCACAAATATGCCATTTGCATAACTCTGGTTGTCTAATTTTATCTGATTAATGAGAAACTTCAGTCCCTAAGGTGACACTATCCATTTAATTTATCTGTATTGCTTACGATTTCTAATTGTGAGGGACTTTTAAAAATTTTTATTGTTTAGATATACAAGGAATTTTTTATTTTTTAAAAAGCAATACATAAAAAGAATCTTTGTTATTTTCTAAAAATTCAATAGGAAAATAAACATTCTATTATTTGCTTTTTAAATGTATTTTATTTTTTAAAAAGCAGACACATTTAGTCACTTCCAAGCTTTATTACCCTATGTTAGGTGGAAATATTTATACATTTATAATATAACTCTGCAAGACAAAAACTTATTTGGTAAACTCAATAGTAGTTGTGCTGAATTTTACAAAATTATATGATTATGATCTTTTTTAAAACTTAAGTTACAGAGAAAAATCAAATTATGTTGGTGCTGTCTTTCAAGGGAAGATGTGTGATAGCCAGTATGGAGGAGGTGTTGCTCTGGTAGAGTATGGCTTAATTTCTTTGGCTAAGATGTATAAGTAGAATGATGTTTAGATTAAAATATAGTTAAATATTGCTTATTTTATCATTCCTATCTATATTAACATTTGCAAAATGATTTAAAAGATCTTTGTCCTTGCTGCTATTACAAATGTTTGAACTGTAAAAAGTTCTTATTAAACTTAATGAATATAAAATTTTTATAATTTTCTTCCTGTGAGATTTTAGTTAAAGCAGTGATATAAAAGGCTCATGAATTTTTCATGTGTTCAATATCTAGTCATTTATTGATTTTAATTTCAAGGTTAGGTTTTGACTGTTTTCAAATATAACAAAATTATGAACCAGCTTAAAATTAAACTTTGAAACTATTTTTCAATTGCCTTAAAATGCTTCATGGGGCATAGCTGAAGAATAACAGAATTAAATGTCCTAATTGGCATTATTTAAGTAGAAAATTTTGGTGTACTTAAAATGGGTGGGTTTTACCTCTATGTCCTAATGCTGTGATTATTCTGACATAAAGAACTGGCCTTCTGAGCATTAAGGACTGCACCTATTGTGATGAGCACTGGGTGTTGTGTGTAAGCATCGATTCACTAAATTGTTCACCTGAAACTAATATTACACTATATTTTAACTAACTAGAATATAAACAAAACTGTAAAGAATATTTTAAATTAATTTTCAAAACACAAGTAAAGATATAAAGAAATGTATCAATCAAATGGCAACACAAAATTCATCTTTAAAATTCATAAATCATAGTTTGAAAAGGTAGCATATATTTATGGTACATCATTACCTAATCTCAAAAGCTTGAATTAGACTGATTTACCTAGTCACTTTCAAAACTGAAAATAAGACTCTCACATGGAGCAAGACCTTAAATGATTAACAAAGAGTCAAACATAACTCAATCTCTCTTAAAGCAGGTTAGCTACCAAGTGGAGGGAAATGCCATCATTTACTAGAAAATATGTGGCTCATGGGCGAGAGGGCAGTGGTGTCTGTAGTAAGAGAACCAATCAAAGAAGAGTTTTTTCAGTATTCTTTCTTATTCTCCACACTTTGTTGGGATAATCATTGCTTGATCATTTTCTGGAAAAATCATTAGTAGCCAATATGTGCAGGAGTGATATGTTGCAGAAAAACAATCGAGGTTCTGTCTTCTTAGGTTTATTTTTTAATTTAAAACAATTGAGGTCCTGTCCTTTTATGTCTATTTTTTATTTTTATATTTTTCAAGTTTTAATTTAAATTCCAGTTAGTTAACATGTAGTGTAATATTAGTTTCAGGAGTAGAATTTAGTGATTCATCACTTATGTATAATACCCCTTGTTCATTACAAATAGTGCCCTCCTTAATACCCATCACCATTTCTCCCATTTAGCCTATTTCCTGACTAACCTCCCCTCCATCAACCCTGTGTTTGTTGTCTTTAATTAAGTCTGTTGCTTGGTTGGCCTTTCTTTTAATTTTTTCCCCCATGTTGGTTTGTTTCATTTCTTAAATTCTATATATGAGTGAAATCATATGGTATTTCTCTTTCTCTGACTGAATTATTACACTTGGCCTAATATACTCTAGCTGTATTTACATTGTTGCAGACAGCAAGATTTCATTCTTTTTTATGGTTAATATTCCATTATATATACACTACCTATTCTTTATCCAGTCATCAGTCAATGGACAATTTGAGCAATTTCCATTATTGGTGATTGCTGATAATGCTACTATAAATATCAGGTTGCATTTGCCTCTTCAAATCAGTATTTTTATATCCTTTGAGTAAACACCTGTGATGCCATTGCTGAATCATAGGGTAGTTATATTTTTAACTTTTTGAGGAAACTCCATACTGTTTTCCAGAGTAGTTGCACCAGTTTGCATTCCCACCAACAGTGTGAGAGTGCTTCTTTTTCTCCATATTCTCATCAACATCTGTTTTTCCTGTGGTGTTAGTTTTAGCCATTCTGGCAGGTGTGCAGTGGTATCTCATTATGGTTTTGATTTGTATTTCCCTGATTATGGGTATGCTGAGCATCTTTTCAGGTGTCTGTTAGTCATCTGGATGTCTTCTTTGGAAAAATGTCTATTCATGTGTTCTACTCATTTCTTAACTAGATTGTTTTGTGTTTTGTGTTTGCTTGGTTTGATAAGTTGTTTATAGGTTTGTGGTACCAACCCTTTATCAGATAATGTTGTTTGCAAATATCTTCTCCCAGTCCAAAGGTAGAGTTTTAGTTTTGTTGATTGTTTCTTTCACTGTATGAAGCTTTATATCTCAAGTCCCAATAGTTCATTTTTGCCTTTGTTTCGCTTGCTTCCAGAGACCTATCTGGTAGGAAGTTGCTATGGCCAAGGTCAAAGAGGTTGCTGCCTGTCTTCTACTCTAGGATTTTGATGGTTCCTGTCTCACATTTAGGCCTTTCATCCATTTTGAATTTATTTTTGTGTATGTGAGAAAGTGGTTTAGTTTCATTCTTTTTGCATGTTGCTGTTCAGTTTTCCTAGCATCATTTGTCGAAGAGACTGACTTTTTTTCCATTGGATAATCTTTTTTGCTTTGTTGAAGATGAGTTGAGCATATAGTTACGGGTCCATTTCTGGGTTTTCTATTCTGTTTCATTGATCTGTATGTCTGGTGTGTGTGTGTGTGTGTGTGTGTATGTGTGTGTGTGTGTATGTGTGCCAGTACCATGCTGTCTTGATAACTACAGCTTAGTAATATTACTGAAGTCCAGAATACTGATGTCTCCAAGTTTGCTTTTCTTTTTCAAAATTGCTTTGGTATTCAGGGTCGTTTGTGGTTCCATAGAAATTTTAAGCTTGTTTGTTCTAGCTCTGTGAGAAACATGCTGGTGATATTTTGATAGGGATTGCATTAAATGTGTAGATTGCTTTGGGCACTATAAACATTTTAACAATAGTTGTTCTCTCAATCCATAAGCATGGAATGTTTTTCCATTTCTTTGTGTCCTTTCAACTTCTTTCATAAATGTTCTATAGTTTTCAGAGTATAAATCTTTTGCCTCTTTGGTTAGGTTTATTCCTAGGTATCTTATTGTTTTGGGTGCAATTGTAAATGAGATTGATTCCTTGATTTCTCTACTGCTGCTTCATTATTGGTGTACAGAAATGCAACAGAGATTTCTGTATGTTGATTTTATATAACAACTTTGCTGAATTTTGCTGTATTAGTTCTAGCAATATTTTGCTGAAGTCTTTTGGGTTTTCTACCTAGAATATCATATTGTCTGTGAATAGTGAAAGTTTAACTTCCTTCTTGTCAATTGGATGATTTTTATATCTTTTTGTTGCCTCACTGCTGTAGCTGGTACTTTCAGCACTGTGTAAATAACAATGGTAAGAGTGAGCATCCCTGTCTTGTTCCTGACCACAGAGGAAAAGCTCTCCGTTTTTTCCCATTGAGGATGATATTAGCTATGATTTTTCCATATATGGCCTTTATGATGTTTAAGTATGTTCCCTCTATCCCTATTTTTTGAGGGTTTTTTTTAATCAAGAATGGATGGTGTATTTTGTCAAATGATTTTTCTGTATCTATTGAGAGGAACATATAGTTCGTATCTTTTCCTTTATTAATGTGGTGCATTACATTGATTGATTTGTGAATATGAACAACACTTGCAGCCAAGAAATAAATTCCACTTGAATGATTCTTTTAATGCACTGTTCTATTCAGTTTGCTATTACTTTACTGAGAATTTTTGCATCCATTTAGGAGAGATAGAGGCCTGTAATTCTCTCTTTTAGTGAGGTCTTTGGTTTTGGAATCAAGATAATACTGGCCTTATAGAATGAGGTTGTAAATTTACTTTCCATTTGTACTTTTTAAGGACAGTTTGAGAAGAATGGGTACTTTTAATTTAAAGATTAACTCATCTTTAAATGTTTGGTAGAATTCCCTTGGGAAGTCATTTGTCCCTGGACATTTGTTGGGAAAATTTTGATTACTGAATCAATTTCTTTGCTGGTTATGAATCTGTTCAAGTTTTCTATTTATTCTTGTTTCCATTTTGATAGTTTATATGTTTCTAAGAATTTATCCATTTCTTCCAGATTGCCCAATTTTTTTCACATATAAATGTTCATAATGTTCTCTTACCATTGCTTGTATTTCTGTAATGTTGTTTGAGATCTCTCCTTTCTTATTCATGGTTTTATTTATTTGAGTCCTTTGTCTTTTCTTTTTGAAAAGTCTGGCTAGGGGGTTATCAATTTTATTAATTCTTTCATAGAATCAACTCCTGGTTTCACTGATTTGTTCTACTGGTTTGTTGTTGTTGTTGTTTATTTGTTTATATATAATCTAAACTTTATTATTTCTCTTCTGCTGGTTTTAGGGTTTATTTATTGTTCTTTACCTAGCCCTTTTAGGTGTAAAGTTAGGTTGTGTTTTTGAGATGTTTTTTGTTTCTTGAGTAGACATGTATTGCTCTATACTTCCATCTCAGGATTGCTTTTGCTGCATTCCAAAGGTTTTGGACCACAATGTTTTTATTTTTATTTGTTTCCATGTATTTTTAAATTTCTACTTTGATTTCTTGGTTGTCCCATTCATTATTTAGTAGGATGTTCTTTAACTTCCATGTATTTGTGGTCTTTCCAATTTTTTTCTTGTGGTTGATTTCAAGCTTAATGACATTATGGTCTGAAAATGTACATGCTACAATGTCAATCTTTTTGTACTTGTTGAGGTTTGATTTATATTTTTTAATAAATGTTTTATTTATTTCTGAGAGAGACAGCATGAGCTGGGGAGTGTCAGGGAGAGAGGGAGACACAGAATCTGAAACAGGCTGCAGGCTCTGAGCTAGCTGTCAGACTGACGTGGGGCTCGAACCCACAAACCATGAGACCATGACCTCAGCTGACGTTGGATGCTTAGCCGACTCAGTGACCCAGGCGCCCCAATTGAGGTCTGATTTGTGAGCTAGCATGCAGTCTTTTCTGGAAAATGTTCCATGTGCAT